GTAATTTTGTGGTTTTCTTCTTAACTGTTTGGATTTTCGCCTTTCCAGCTTTCATATACTGTTCATCTGGGTTCTGTGTGTGGTCCTGCAGTCTAGATGAAGTGTACCTATAAAAGGCAGTAATGTGGGTACAGTTGTGCCTCCAGTAGGCACTTCTTGGGGCAATTCTTCCTGTAAGGCATTGCACCTTCCCATTGCTCACTAGCCAGGAGAGACCCACAGGGCAGGTGCATTCTGACATTACATAGCCCAGTTGAACAAGGTGGAACAAGCAATTTGGTATAGGCAGCCTAGCCAGGGAGTGCTGCTATACAGTTCACCTCTTCAGAAGAGAAGTGGGCTATACTATTTTATACATGGATAGATCCACCCACGGATGTTTTGGTGTATGTGTGTGCAGAACAGAGTGGTTTTGACATTGTGTTAAGTGAGGATGTGCTGCACTCGTAGGACGGAAAATGCTGCTAAATGAATCAGCTAAACCTGTGCAAAGCCTGTATGGAGGAAGGTCTTTGTGCTTTTACTGGAAATAACTGTTTCTATTAATTTTTCCCATTGGGAAAATGTTTGGTACAGTATGTATGTCTTCCTTGTAAATAGTAAGAATCGAGTGAATGTTGTTATATAGGTTCACCTCCTGCTGTGAAGGTGTAATGTGTAAGTATGCATAGGTGATCTCATGCCCAGCCTTTGGGTGTGTGGGGATAAAAGGACTTGTTAGGGGAAAACTGCCTTCGAACCCTTTTCTGTGAGCCTAGCTGGGAAGGAAGACATTTTGTTGAGCATGTGAGAAAGAGATTTTAAATCTCTCTGGTGTAGCAAGTTTGAAAGAACTGCCTTTAAAAACCTCCAAGTAGCTCACTGTAAATAAATCCAGATGAGTAAAATACTTGTATTTTTACAGCTCTTAAAACATATTTTATAATGCAGCTGAAGGATGTCTTTGTGGTGGAAGGTACAGGAGTTACAGCAATGTTTGCCATCATCAGCAGTACGGGCAAGCATAGTACAAATTCTCCTGTATAATTCAATAATAATGCAGTATGCTTGGCCTCTAATATTTACAACTATCATAAACTTTTTTGGTTGTGCTGTGTGCAGTATCAGATCCATTATGCTCTTAAAATCACATAAGACTGATTCATTGATGGATCACAAACCCAGTGTTTCATTAGAAACTTTTATAGAAAATCATTATAAATGCCTGTTTACAAAGACAGTTCTCTTGAGGTGTATTCATTGAGTGAAAAATATGACTATTGCCTAATCATAAAAGTAAAAAAGGATAGAATTTTTTTTACTCATTACAGCTAATTAAAATGTGTATAATTTGAAAATATTACAATAATGCAGAGCTGCACACATTGAAATGTATTACTCAATAAGAACATTTGTTCAAAATAGATATGCAGCAACATATTTTCCTTATTCCAGATTTTTTCTACCCCTGCAAAATCACACATTGGTGTGTTGTTTAGGTAATTTTCTGCACACATACTGTCAGTTTTTATTGGAATATTTCAGTAACAGCTGATCAATTACAGAGTAAAAGCTCATGTTCAGCTTACTTCTTAATTTATTTCTAATGCCATGCTGACAACAGCAACATTTTAAAAATAAATCTTCCTGAGACAATCCAGCTAATCAGAGGGAAAATGTGTTGGAAAGTTGTGTCAGAACTGAGGTGTTTAACACTAAAGGTTTGTGTGCTGCCACTTCAAATTTCACATGCACTCCAAAAAAACTAATGAGGCTGACAATTGATAATTAAAATCAGAAAGATACTGGTGTCTATGGATTCCATGCCAGAAGAATAAGCAGAATTGTTCTTAGTTTACAATAAAGAGATAATGTGTGTTTTTTAAAATGTTTCAAATATTACTGGATTAATTCAAAGAATTAAAAATAGAAGTAGCTTTCATTCTTTGAGTTACCATTTGAGGCCCTTGAGTAAAGCTGATGATGTTTCTGGACAAAAGAAAATCAATAGCCTACCACTTTTAGTATCTACTGAATGTTAGGTAGTTAATAATTTAAAAAAGAGAGCTTTCTGCTACACTGACAAGGTTTTCCCTTTTGTCAGGGAAGCAGCCAGGTCCACTTGCCTGTTGGGTATTCCTTTGTATGCTCACCTGCAGTGAATTAAAATAGCTTCTCCTGAAACAAGAGAAACTGCCCTCAAACTGAAGGCCAAGAGGGTTTTGACAGCCTTGATATGGACTACCTCAAAGATGAGAGCTTTTAAAAAAATAATCTTTTGTTTTGGCTTAATATTATTTGACCAGCTCTTGAAGACAAGAAGGGCATTGTAATAGCATCAAATACAAATGGAGGTATTTGATGCTACTACCTCCTTGAGCATTCTACTCAAGGACTTGACCACAAATTCTACCCAGAGGATGCTTCTGAAGAATGAGCAAAATAATTTTGGGAAGTGTGTATCTTAACAGTTGTGCATTACATGAGTGACATTTTTTTCTGTGTCCTGATCCGAGCTCAGATATGTTTTTGTTGCTTCCAGGATGTGAGGCACAGATGGTGAAGACTAATTGGGGTGGAGGGCAAAGCCTCTATGTGTTCTTGAAATCCCGTGCCTCTCTGGAGGTCGAGGGGGCAGTTGCTGTGGCAGAGGCATCCTTGGGGCTAATGTGAGTGGTGACAGCCTCCCTGTGTTTGCCTGCTGGTCATGATGCAGAGCTGAACGGCTGTAGCAGCTGTCTAATGGACTTCTCTCAGGACAAATTCTTCCATCCCTCTGCCTGACTCAGCCAACAGAAGTGTGCCTGTGCAAGAAGAGGTCCTGTAGCAAGCCTTGCAGCAGCCCTGGCAGATGCAGAAGCAGCATTTGGGGTCCACATCAGCTTTGCTGTGCTGGGGCTTTTTTATGTTGACTGCCTTTTCCTGGGCTTGTATTTTACGAGTGTTGCCACAAACAGATCTCCAGCAGACTGCTTCCTTCTGCCTTTTCCAAGTGTGAGAGCTTTAGAGGGCAGGAGAGGCCTCAGAGAGGTACAAATCATTTCCTTGTGCCAACCTTGATGCTCAGAGATGCAGCCATGTTCCCACGAGCCCTCCAAGATTTTGTGCTGAGTTCTATCTCTGCTAAAAATTGCACTGTAGCAGGCTGAGACTTGGTCTGGGAGCTTGGGGTTTGTTGCCATTCCCCCCCTTTCCTTCTTCCCAGAAAGCAAGAAAGAGACACAGCTGGGCTTGTCTCATGTTTACATCTGTCTATAACCTTCACATCAATTCTCAGTCCTGGCCACTGTTCCAGATGTAATTATATGCAGATTCCAGAGGAAATGGAAATCTATTGCCAACTCTGTAAGGGGTTGCCCCATGCATCAGACTAAGTGATGCTGAAGAAGGAGAATGCAGCAGGATATCCGATCTGAGCAGATGCCCTCTGATTTGGGTCTAACCACTGTTCAAGTTGAGATCTGACATGCAGAGAAGCCACACCTGCCAGATGGGTTTCCCTGTCATTTGGAGTGATCTGGGAAAGTGTCTGTAATGACAGAGGGAGATGCTAATCAGAGTTTTTGTAGAGCTTCATCATGTAATTCGCGTGTTGTGTTTCTTTCATTGTACCATCCGTCAGCGTTGCTCATGTTCAGTCTCAATTTCTTCGTTTTCAGGTACTGTGTTACACACAACCCTTGGGTTTGCTTTGTGGTCTTCTTGTGTTCCTTCCCCTCACACTGCTTCCCCAGTTGCTCCATTAAGCAGTAGGAAGCCATAGATAAATTGCTCTGGGTGTTTGTCACACTAAAAGATTCTGAAAATATTTCTCCTTCAGCCTGAGCAGCAACAACAAAGCAGGACTGTCAGGTGGCAGGACCCCCCAAAGAAAGAGTGGTGTAGATGCACAGCATGTGCAATTTAAAATGCTTGTTTAAAATGTGCCGTCATCAGACTGACATCAGGAAACAGGTTGTTAAAGGCTTTTTAATGGGCACGTGAAGTAGCACAAGGATTAAGCTCACACTCTCTCATATCTGTGAGCAGAGGTGGCCTTTCTGCTGTATCACATTTGTGTGCTTCAGAGAGAAGACAAGCATCCTACAACAATATTCCCCATGAACCGTGTCCATCTGCATTTAAATGACAAAGGTCAGATCCACTTGTACAGTAATTAAATTTTAATAAAATAAGAATAATTTATAGCATTCAAGTCCATGTTATAATTGAGTGGGATAGCTATCCCCCACACAGCCTCAGTACACGATATAATTTATGCATGAGCTCAGAATTCTCTGCAAGATGCTGAAATCAACATGGCATGTTCGGGATGTGGATACTTATTTTAGACACTGAGTTAGAAAATTGTGGTTTGTAGAAATTTATGCAAAAATATTGCCAAAATAAGCATTGAAAACCTAATTTCAATATGCAGCTGCTTGTAAGCACAGTAATTAAGATGTATTGGGTAAATTTACTCCATTTTTTCTCACCCACACCAGTGAGATAGAAGTTGCAGATTTCAGGTGCAGACTCACCATATCTTTAAACTCCAGCCAGGACTCAGGAGAAAGCTGCCTGGAGAGCAGGTCTGCTGCTTAGCTTGGTCTTGTCTCCACTGCTCTGAGCTCTTTGATGGAGGGAATGTTGTTGGGATCACCCAGATCCCACCTATTGTAGATTCATTAATTACTGTTGTGGATTTGCAATATTACATTCTGGCACACCAGCAATGGGTTAATTCAGCTTTTAATGTCTTCAAAACACTTTTCCCAACTGAACTCATTTGCCCTCACAATCCTGCAGGGAGGGTGAGAGAAAGTCAGTCTACACATTATCTGGATAAAGAAACAAAAGTGGTGGGTTAGGTATTTTTCTTGTCAGGAATCAGTCAGTGTCAGCTTTACACTTCATATGCCATCATTAGTCACTCATTGCTCCAAATGCTGTGTTTACACTCTGCAGCAGATCTGTCCTCCTTCGAGCTTGCTGCTGCTCTGAAATAATTCAACAGGTTTTACCTCTACTTTTTCCTCCAGCTGGGGTGATGATGGTCCCTGAAAGGAAGACGGAGGATGGGTTTGAGGAGCACTTCGGCTTGAACTACTTGGGACACTTCCTGTTGACTAACCTCCTCTTGGATACGCTGAAGCAATCAGGAACGCACAGTCACAACGCTAGGATCGTCACTGTCTCATCAGCCACCCATTATGCAGGCAAATTGCACCTAAACGACTTACAAAGCAGGTACCGATCCATTTCTGGTACTGTGTAGTAAGCATGCGCAGAATAAGCTCCAAAGGATTTGTTACTGAATATGGTGGGGGTTTGTTGCCTCTTTTTTTTTTGGTTTTAATTAATGGTGATTCTAAAGGAGTTTCTTAGTATCTTTCAGGCTTGAACAAAGCTTGCAGCCTTGAGTCAAAGATACAAATAATGTAGAAGTTTCTGAACTGAGTCTTTTGTTCTGGACATCGAAAACCTTGCTTTGCTTTCTGATGCCTATGCTGCAGTGATGGTTGTGGTGCAGTGCCTGGACTCAACACTGCCTAATCACTCCCAATAACTGGGATGGTTTAAAATGGCTTGGATGAATACTAGTAGACATTGTCCTCGAGTGGATGCATACACAGAGGCCCTGCCCCTGCCCTCAGATGAGCTCAGACAGAAGCCTGTGGCTGCTAGCTGCCTGTCCACTGAGCGTGGGGATGCTGACTTGGCTCTGGGGGGGCAGCTAGCCCCCACTGCCCAGCTGCCTTGCAGCTGGGTCAGCCCACATGCTGCCTGCTGCTCCTTCCTCCCTCCTGGCATCACTACCACACTGTTCTCTCTTCTCTCTGCCCCTGGCCTCTACCTCGTCCTGCACTGCTCCCGACATCCCAGTCCCTGCCCTTGGCCTCACTCACAGCCCTGCTCCAGCTTCCCCCACCTTCCAGCCCCAGGCTGCGTTATCCCACCCGTTCCTGTCCCTGTCCACATCCCTGTCCCCTTCCCTATGGTCCTTATCCTCTCACACATCAGCTTGGCAATTCACTGCCAACTCTGGAGGCCCAGCTTCTGTCTGTGTTGTACCCTGTGCTTCCTGGGAGTTTACTGAGCTCCAAGTGGTGCCTGCTCTGGGTTTTTAGTCCAGTAAGTTGTGTTAAAATGCATGGAGAAAATCTGTCTGACTGCTTTTATTTAGGAAAACTGGGGATGAATGTCTATGGGATATTTCTAGCATCAGGAAGACATCAAATGATGTGGTAAATGTGTCTCTCATACAGGAACCTTGTAGGGTGGCTTAGTTAGTGGAGAAACGGGTAGGGTAGCTGAGATGAATTTCAAAATTTCCCCATGCAGTCATGCGTGGCAGTTACATGCTTACTAACAGGCTCAAACAGGGCCTGTCTTCTCATGGGCTCCAGAAAGCTTCTGCCTGAACAGAGCCAATCTAAGTTCTGCATCATTTCCATGGAGAAATTCTGTCTCCAGCCTTTGACTTCAGCATGTTCAGGGGTACCTGGCCCGAGGTTTCATTTTGGAACAAAGACTGAAATTAAAGGACTGGGCTGTTTCTGCTGCAGATATTTTACATATGAATGCTGCATTAGGCATGTCAAACTTCTGATTACATATTACAGCATCAGTTTTATTACAAGCCATTGTTTAAACTCTGTAGGGGAGTCACAGTTTAATCTCTTTCTTGTAAAACAACAATTACCCTTACTCTTCACTCGAGGTATGCATTCATTGTTTCTGATGGGCATGTGCTGAAAGGCACCATGCAAGAGGGGAAAGGGGAATGTGATTAGTATTCTTTGGGCTAAAGTGTGGATTGCAGAATTAAATGTGACTGTTCTGTGTCTCTAGATAACAGTAGTTTCCTCAATTATAGCAAGGTCTTTTACTGTGCCTTTTTAATTTAGGATCATCCCTACCTTTGATTCAGCATTATTAACTCATATTTTAAAGGAACCAGAAATGTTTCAGTTAGGAAAGTTATGGTTGAGCATGAACATAACCAGTCTGATGTAAAAAATAATAACATACCAGTGAGATTTACCTGCAGCTTTTGTACCCTTTACATTTGAACATTATTGATGTAAGGAGGGCCATAAAGGATGACAGACTGACTGATTTTGCCTGCTCGTTCCCACACGGGTGCTCTGGATCACTCAGGGACAGCAGCAGTGCCTGCTTTCTGGGCTCACAGGCATACCAGTGGGACCCAGAGTGGGCTGTGGATTCAGCTCCAAACTTTTTCTTCGTTTAGGTGGAAGATGCTCCTGGGTATTTCTTTTAGCCTAACTGGCAATAAGCCTCCACTCAGGAGAATAGTTAGTTATCGCCATAAATAGTGCTGCAAAGAACAGTGAGATCACTTGTGTGTTTGAGTGTGTGCCTACAGCATGAGCAGGTGGTTTAGCAGCCCTGGAGGACTCTTGTGCTGCATCATGCACAGGCATTGGCTACAGCACAGGGCCTTGGAGATGCCTTGTGATTTAAAGCAGTGTTTAAGAGCTTTAATGGATGTGGAAAAGACATCCATGGTAAGCACTGTCATATGATACTGCTCCACAAATTGCCATAGTTTACCAGTGATGTTATCCCGCATTTTTTGCTGCTTGTGTGAATGGAAAGTAATTCTAAATATTTTCTATTGGGATTTTTTCCTTATTTTGAGTTGCACTAGTTGGCCATAATTCCATCTCATGACTTGTGTGTATGTTCCCAGAATGGCTGGTTATCCTAACCCTGCAGGAAGACAGCAAAGCAATCTGGAGTAATTTATTCATAGTAGAGAAGGGGGGCTGTACTCTGTGCTGAAAAAATTACCAGTGGCAGCAGACTGAATTGTTTACCATGCCCTTGTCCCATTATTCTTAGATGTTGATTGGGCTAGTGTCCCAGTTGGAGGTCAGTGCAGTAGTAGAGCAGGGATTCATCCATCACACATGGCAGAGAAGGAAAGGCAGAGACTGTCTTGACCTAGAGGAGAGGGTAAACCAAGGTTCAGTTCTCTGCTGTACCACAGACTTTTCTGTGGAATTCTCCTTCCACACAGGGGACTGGTTTGACAGTCACAGTTGTGGCCATTTCTCCCCATTGCTTATACTTGCTGCTGAGAGACCTGATACGAAGTCAGATATCATCCATATCAGTTACCACAGGGCAACAGCATAACAAATAATTGTTGGAAGGCCTGTCCAGTGAACAGTGTTAAATGCAGTTTGTGTTACTGTCCTCCATGTTTCCTCTTTGGTTTGTTTTCTGCAATCTTACCAAGTTGGTCTTGCCAGCTCCTTTTTGGCGGGATGATTAATTTAATTTTGTCTTTATTTTCTTTATTTTGCATTATTTTTCTTCCTTTGTTGTCTCTCTCTTCATGCATCCCTGCTGCTTCATTGCCTTTTCCCTCCCTATCTCATTTTTTTCCTATTTTTTTTGAGTTAATTTCCAGTTTATTTCCTCATCTCCATTTATCCTCTCCCCCTATCCCCACTCCTTTTTCTCCCCTAGAAATGTCATTTCTCCTCCATGCTGCCCATCCTCTTCACACACACTAGTAGAAGAGACACAGCATGGGTACAGCAAGGCAGGATAGAGCTTGTTCCAAACTGGCAGGGCACAGCTTGTTTCATGTGTGTTATTGAAAATGCAAACACATAAGAGCACTGACTGTTCTCACAGCTCTTTTGCTGAAGGATATATGTGAAGAACATCAAACATCTTTGTGGTCTTTTAGATCCAGACCATTTTCAACAGCAATCACATGAGTTGACAAGGGGATCCCTAAGGCAAATCATTCTCCTTCATCCCTACTTTGACTAGGACTGTTTGCAGGGAGGTGAAAGTTTAACAGAAACACTATCTATCTGCAAGCATTTCAGCAGTGGTGACTTCAGCAGTTGCAGTAAGAGGGTAGTACAATCTGTGCACCAGCAGCACAGCTGGCATGTCCTTTTTTTCCTCTTTTGCCTACCTTAAATACTACTTTCTAAAGTGAAAGGAGAAAAAAACCCATGGTCATGAGAGAATATATATGGTTTTAGTAAAAGCTTGAAGAATATTGTACCATTCACTTAGGTCGAGGTAGGCTTGAGCAGTGTGTTGGAGTTTCTGGTGTTTTTTCAGGGCTGGGCTGGAGGACACTCCTTCAAGTACTCTACCTACTGAACTAAGAAGGCATTTTGGGCAAATAAAGAAAAAAAGACAGTATTCCCTTTCCCAGGCTATGTATCACACTTGACTATGCTCCCTTTCCCAGGGGTTAGCATCTTTGTGTGTTCTGTCTAGCTTTTTCTTCATGACTAACTATTCCTTTCATCATCCTCTCCTTTTGCATACCAAATGGGCCCTGTAATTCTGTGAATCACAGATCTATGGACTCCCCAGCCACAGTAACACAGCTCCTTCTCTGTTTCACATCTCCTATATATTCAAGAACAGTTAGTTACACTCTTATGCTCTCTTTCCTCTGCTCTCCAACTGCAGAAAAGGTGATTTTTTGAGACTCTCCAAGCTGAATGCATTACATAAAATTTCTATTTTTTTCCCCTGTAGCCCTAGTTTATGAATCATGTCAGAGACAATAGAAACTGAATGAAAGGAATTGCAGAATTCCAAGCTGCCACGTGCATCTAAGCTGGTGTAAAATAGGGTAAACAGCTCTGCTCAGGCCTGGGAGAATTCTGGAGAGACAAGGCAGCTTCAGTTAATGTCCTCGGTTAGGCAGTTCATAAAGAACTGTAACAGGAGCTGTCATGTACTGATGGGAAAATCTGTCTAGCAGAGTGGCTGGAGACCTCCTGATCTTGGATGAGTGATGTCCCTCATCCTCTCTTCTTCCATGTGTGTGATATTTATGAGTAAAAAAAATATTGTATTAAGTTTGGGCAGCAAGTTGAAGAGTTTTTTCCATCAGCATTGGTCTTAATGGTCTTAACAAAGGATTATTAATAATGTTTAACAATTTAATAGGACATGGCCTTTCTGAACTACTTCAAAATTGCAGCATGCTGGGAGGGGTGTGGGATACAGGTGTTCCTGCTGCCCAGATTTTCCCTGCACCGTGGGGTGGGTGAGAGAAATTGGCTCTTTGTGGCACTCAGGACGGTGGGGCTCAGATGTGCTGTTTTCCAAAAAGGCAAGACGGTCATTTGAAAGTTAATGTATTGCATTCATGTGATACAGAAGGCAAAAGGGACTTCAGAAAACTGAGAGTGGAGAGAGCTTGTCACCCTCGAGAGGGGAAGGTTGGTTTA